TACACCCCAGGGGGTCCGCTGGGATTATTTTCCCTCCTGTTCACGCTTCAGTTAAAAGGTGGGCTGGGAATGCTTACCTCTAATGGGGGCTCCTGGAGTTAAGTCATTGGCTCAGAGGGATGTACAACTTGTCCAGCTTCTACAAAAGGAAGAAAATTCCAGGGTTAGGCAGATGGTAGGGACTTGAGTAACATCTGAGACCAGCCATGTACTTTATTTCCCTCTTGTATATAACCTCTTTGGCCTTGATAAAACCTAGGCTTCTGTTCGCTCATTCATTCGTTTGTTCGTTCGTTCTTTTATTCCTGCACACATTCGTTCGGTGGGTGGTTAATGTTCACTTCCAGACAACGGTTCAGTTCTAGGCACTATTCTCCAAGAGCTGCAGTGGTAGCCAGATTCCTGACCTGTATGCCTGAGCTTACATTCTAGTGAGACTAGACAAAAGAAACAAACAAGCAAAATTTGAGGTATGTCATCTGATGGTAGAAGTTAAGAAGATTAAATGAAGACAGGAACATGCAACCAGGGTATGGAGGAATAGGAATTGGAAGCTGGCTTTGTTTTTAAGCATGAGGATCACTTTGAACTCTTGATTTTCCTATCGTCAACTCCTGAGGGTTGGAATTACAGGTATGCAAGGCCATTGCCAGTTTATGCGATCCTGGGGATGGAACCCAGGGCCTCACACACGCTAGGCAAGTACATACTCTACCAACTGAGCAACATCTCCAGTCTGAACTCATGTAAATAGGTACTTGGAATGTCACTAAAGAGAGACTTAGCAAGGGATGGAGGGGAAGGAGGGAGGGAGCTAGTTGGCCCTGTGGGAGTAAAGAGCTAGGGCAGATTGCCAAACTCTGGGGAAGGGGCTTGGGGTATCTTGGTTATCTGTTGGCTCTTTTCTTGTATTGCCTTATATTCATGTTGGATATTAAGCTACAAGGTCTGTTTTCAGAGGTGGATGATGGTATGTAATTATAAGAAGGTGGGGAAGAGAAGCAAACCAGAAAGAGTTTTCTTGCTAGTTTTTTTTTTTTTTTAAACAAGGTCTTCCTATATACTCCAGGTTGATTTTGAACTCAAGATCCTAATGTCTCCATCTTCTGGTGTTGGTTAGCCCAAGACATAGGTCCTAGTCCATGCGCTAGGCTCACTTTTGCCTTTTCTCATAACCCAATGAGAGGAGACTTAGTCTCATTCGGATTTCTGCTTTGAGGATGGGACTCCAGTTCACAGGGAAGTTGAACCCTTTGTTCATGTAGATATACCTATTGAAGAGAGGAGCTGTGAGGTGGAGTTGAACCCCATTGCTGGGTCTTCTGTTGTAGAATATTATTTCAACCTTAAAATCATATTTGTTACATTTGTTCATGCTCTGGAACATTTGTTTAATGATGCAAAGATGTGTTTCATTCTTTTATGCTACAGTTGATTAACTATGATTCTGCATTACTTTGCCTGACTAAAACACCTGGTTGGTCTAATAAAGAACTGAATGGCCAATAGCAAGGCAGGAAAAAGGATAGGCAGGTCTGTCAGGCAGAGAGAGTGAATAGGAAGAAAAATCTGGGAGAGAAGATTGAGGCACAAGAAAAAGAGGAGGAGAGAGGAGACTGGGGGCCAGCCACCCAGCCACACAACCAGACACGGAGTAAGAAGTACAAAAAGGTATATAGAAATAGAGGAAGATAAAAGCCCAGAGGCAAAAGGTAGTTGGGATAATTTAAATTAAGAAAATCTGGCTAGAAACAAGCCAAGCTAAGGCTGGCATTCACAAGTAATAAGTCTCTCTGGATGTATTTCTTTGGGAGGTAGATGGCAGGTCCCCCAGAGAGTCAAAGAGTAAATAAACAAAACAAAACAAAAAACTAATGAACAAAAAACTACAGTTTCCCTACTTCAATGCTGAGCACTTAGCTACAGATTCACACTGTTCTCATAGGGGCAAAGCAGGGGACAGAGTGAATGTTATAGATGGAACTCTTTTTAAATGGCTCATTTTGGGGCCCAAGTTACTTTGGCTAGCATGGGACCCACATCTGTTGAGCTCCTGCTGATAGTAAAAAATTTACTTATTTCCCTCCCTCTCCCCTTTCTCCTTTCTTCCTTTCTCTTTTTGACTGGGTCTTGCTATGTAGCTCACACTAGCCTGGGACTCACTATGTAGCCCAAGATGACCCCAAACTCCCACCCACATCCTTTGGTCACAGCCTCCCCAGCACTAGGATTACAGGCATGAGCCACCACACCCAGCTTGCTTATTTTCTTTCTTTAACAATTCTTAAGAGAAGCATAACTGTTCGCCATAGACACAGAAAACAGTGGAGTAGAGAGTTAGCTATATACTAGTGATACAAGGTCGGACAGGGTAGTTGCTGCTGAACTGAAATGAGACACCTACTAAACAGCTAAAAGCACACCACAGAGCCCACTGAGAACCCACTGAGACTCTCTCCACATAGCCACAGCAAGCAGATGCAATGAGAAAACCCAGTGCATTTGACATTTTTTTTTTTTTTATGATGGCAAAAGGCCAAGGAGCTCGTACACAGGCACACACACACACACACACACACACACACACACACCTACCTTATAAAGAGCAAATCTGAGATTCAAAATTGGTTTATCTTTATTACCAAAGAGAATAGTTTATTGTCCAGGTGAGGACTTGTGTCTCCACTCAGTGTCAGGATGTGGGAGAGATTATCGAGGCAGAGCGGGAAGTCAAATATCCTTGCAGATTTCTGACATGCTGTTATTTACCAGTGTCTTTCACACAGGCAAAACAAACATGTCCCACCACAAAGCAAATAGCAGCCTTAACAGCAGACCTGAGGCAGGGCCCCCACTAATCAAACCCTGCGATGGATGGTCATTTCTTTGCTTTCCTCTGTCCTGAGCCTCACTGGAGACACCTCTTCACCCTTCTGGCAGAGTTTTGACCCATGGAATTGTTTAGGTATCATGAGGCTACAGACGATATTTCATTTTCTCGGTACTCCCTGGGGCACAGCCAAGCACAGAGTTCTGACTCACTCAAGGCTTGGGGAAGAAGAATCTTTTCATTACCCATCTTATTACATTAGAAACCTCTGGTGTTGCACACTTTCATTTGTGTGAGTCCACTAGGAGAAGCCGTCACTAAATCTGAAGAGAGGAGAAACTGAGGCTGGCAGTGTTTACTGAGGGCATTTATAGGAGGAAATCTCTCTCCTGGAACTATACAGTTATCTTATTTTATTTATGGCTTACTCTGTCTTGCTCTCCCCACTTTCAATCCAATCAGATATTGACAGGTGCATCTGTTTTTGTGCGAGGTACGCCACTAAGTGCCGTGGCTGAATCAAAGATGAGTTAACTAAGCAAATGGTAACCTAGCACTCACTGTCCACTAAGTGTGGGGAATGAAGGAAAAACACCTTTTTGGGAGAACCTTCCATGTGCCAGGCACTCCTCATAACAGTCCAAGAGAGGACTCATGCCCATTTGACAAATGAGGAACCTGAGGCTCAGAGAGGTTATGGACGTGACCAAGGCTATTCAGTGAGCAGTCACCTCAGTATTCACAGCATTATCATCTGGTTTCAAAGCTGCAATGCAACCTTCTTTCTGCACCAGACTGAGATTTAAAAAAAATGCAAAATCTCTATGTTAGTCTGAAGGAAATTACAGCAGAAAACAGAATGCGGCCAGGGTCCTGAGTGAGTAGAGGTCAGGAGGAGGGACCACAGAACCATCTCCCATAGAAGGTTCTAAAAAGGCACCCTCAGATCAGCCTGCCCTACTCCCAGTACTCGGTCTGCCAAGGAGTTGAAGGCTGGCTTGGATTCATTGTAATCCTACTCCATCCGTTAAGAGCAGCTAATGTGGCTTTGGGGAGGGGAATAAAATATTAAGAGCCAGAAGTTTGGCATCTGGATGACTGGGTTTATGCCCCACTCTCTTAATTGGTGATCTTGGGTAAATCACATAACCACCTTACACCCCCAAGATCACCGTAGTTCCTGATTCCTGAGGCTATGGTGAAGACGGAGTGTGATATTGTGTGAGAAGTGCCAAGTGCAAGATGATAGTGACATCTATTAGTCAGGGATGGCAAGGTGTTTAGTAAGTACTTGGCATAGGGCCAAAATACTTGGCATAGTATATCTTATTTAATTGTGACAATGACATTAGGTAGATGCTGCTATTGTGGACATTGGATGGATGAGAAAACTGAGGCTCAGTGGTTAAATGACCAGCCTGAGGCAATAGGACCAGCAGAAAGTATAGGTAAGAGACAAAGCATCCCTTAAATGAGGTGAAAAAGAAAAAGACACCGATGGGGTGAGGAATCTACTCATGAGGTACCCTGGGGACTGTGGGCTCTCAAGGGAGAAGTTTTGTTCCTCTGTACCTCTAGGTTAGAGGGACAGGAAGGGTCCTGTCCTTTCTTCTGGCAGGGGATGCTGGCTGCAACAGACATACCTGTTACTTCTAAAGCCAGCATACATGCCAAAGGCTCCCAAGGGTGAGGAATCTCAGCTCCTTCTATGCAGAATGGCTTTTGTCTGTGATAAACTTTGAGGAGCTTGGATTCCCTCAATGCAGAGCATGCACCCCATCCTGTGAGCAGGGAGGGCTCCATTCCAGTGCCCCACAGCAAGCTGATGAAGATTAACTGCCAAGTCATCCAGGGGCTGAGTTCACATCCCATCTTAGGGAAGAGCCTGGGAGCCCAGGGCGCAGGCCTAGGGTGCCTGTGCATAGAATTCTCTCTGTAGGTCTGGAGAACAAATCTTTTATGCCAACTAGCCACTGCACTAGAAAACGATGCCAGGGTCACTGTAACAACACGTGCTACAGGCATCAATGCTTATGACAACAGGCTCCTTACAGGTGCCTCTTCACTGCCCTGGGCCCTCAGAGCTTTACCACTATAAACCAGGACCCAGAACTTCTAAAATGTCAGAGCAACAGCAGTAGCAGCAGCAGCACCACCACCACCAACAATAACTCCCAGCCCCAACTCTAAAGAGCATCTAGTCCAGGACCTGTGGATTAAATCAACCCACGTGCCTGTTTATTTATTTTGTTTTTTGAGATAGGGTTTCTCTGTGTAGCTTTGTAGACGATGCTTGCCTCGAACTCATAGAGATCCGCCTGTCTCTGCCTCCCAAGTGCTGGGATTAAAGATGTGCACCACCACTGTCTGGCTTATTTTATTTTTTAAATAAAAGTCTCATTGTAATCCAGCCGTGCCCATTTAGTTTGTGTATAGACCACGGCAATTTTCACACTAGAGTGGCAAAGCTGAGTATTTGCAACATCTGGGTCATCTGGCCTGTACAGCCTAAAATATTTACTATCTGACATGTTGGAGAAAACTCTTAATTGAGCCTGGCTTTCTTATTTTACATGTGGGGACACAAAAGCCCTGGAAGAGGATGGGGCTTGCCTGAGGCAGAGCCAGTGTCAGTAGCCAAGAGATGTGACTCTATGCTCATAGCTCGGTTGCCACGGGTATCATGTTTCTGCATGATGCCACAGGCTCTGAGTTTTAATACAGTTTT